ACATAGCTAATGACTGTGGAATCAGACCCCAGAACCCAAATCTCCTTTTGCATGTTTTGGTTCATTTATTTGACAAATATTTACTCAGTGCCCACTATCTTTTATTTCAATGCCTAAGTCATTCTATCAAATAATCAGCTTCTCTGTGGATGTTTTTTTCTTCCTTTATTTTTCATGTGTACATTTTCCTTTAGTGTATTTTATTTATTTATTTGTTTATTTATTTATTTATGATTTTGGAGATGGGGTTTCATTCTGTCACCCAGGTTGGAGTGTAGTGGTGCAATCTCAGCTCACTGCAATGTCTGCTTCTCAGGCTCAAACGATCCTCCCGTCTTAGCCTCCAGAGTAGCTGGGACCACAGGTGTGCAACACCATGCTCAGCTAACTTTTTATTTTTATTTTTTATTTTTAGTAGAGACAAGGTTTTTACAATGTTGCCCAGGCTAGTCTGGAACTCCTGAGCTCAGAAGGTCTGCCACCCTTGATCGCCCGAAGTGCTGGGATTATGGGGTGAGCCACTACACCCAGCTGGATATTTATTTTTGAGACAGGGTCTGGCTCTGTGTCTCAGGTTGAAGTGCAGTGGAGCCATCTCAGTTCATTGCAACCTCCACCTCTGAGGGCTTAAGCGATCCTCCTGCCTTAGCCTCCCAAGTAGTTGGGACTACAGGAGTGCACCACCATGCCTGGTCAATTTTTACTTTTTAATTTTTAGTAGAGACAAGGTTTCACCATGGTGCTCAGGCTGGTCTCAGACTCCTGGGCTTAAGTGATCCTCCTTCCTCGACTTCCCAAGGTGCAGGGGTTATAGGCGTGAGCCACTGCACCCAGTTGAAACTTTGTTAAGCTCTAGAAACTTTTAGTATGAGTAAAAATAAAATTAGATTAACTTTGATTGAAGGGATAGGGAGGTGGGAATAGCTCTATCAGCCCTAAGGAGGATCCCTGAAACCCCTAACAACACACAGTCAGCACTTATTGAGCACATACTATATGCTAGGTCATGTGCCAGTGCTTGACATAAATTATTTTCTTCATTGCTGCATCCTTAATTTTGGCAGTGCTTTGTACACAGGAGGTACTAAAGTATGTTGAATATTGAATTACATCCTTGACTCTTTCTAGGGTTCTATACTGGTTTTTTTTAGGACTGCCTTAACAATGACACCAAGTCATTAGATTTCAGGACCACCCTAAATCTAGTATGATCTCATTTTAACTAATTACATCTGCAAAGGCCGTATTTCCAAATAAAGTCATATTCTGAAGTTTGGGGTAGACATGTATTTTTGGGGAACATTATCCATCCCACTACAATCTACCCTGTGGCTCCCCCAAAATTCTTGTCTACTCCTCATGCAAAATATATTAATCCCATCCAATGTTCTGTTTTTTGTTTTATTTATTTATTTATTTATTTATTTATTTATTTATTTATTTTGAGACGGAGTCTGGCTCTGTCGCCCAGGCTGGAGTGCAGTGGCTGGATCTCAGCTCACTGCAAGCTCCGCCTCCCGGGTTCACGCCATTCTCCGGCCTCAGCCTCCCGAGTAGCTGGGACTACAGGCGCTGGCCACCGCGCCTGGCTAGTTTTTTGTATTTTTTAGTAGAGACGGGGTTTCACCATGTTAGCTAGGATGGTCTCGATCTCCTGACCTCGTGATCCGCCCGCCTCGGCCTCCCAAAGTGCTGGGATTACAGGCTTGAGCCACCACGCCCGGCCTTGTTTTTTTTTTAAATGGGAGTCTTGCTCTGTTGTCCAGGCTGGAGTGCAGTGGCACGATCTTGGTTCACTACAACCTCTGCCTCCCAGGTTCAAGCAATTCTCCTGCCTCAGCTTCCCGAGTAGCTGGGATTATAGGCACACGTCACCATACCAGGCTAGTTTTTTATATTTTTGGTAGGGACAGAGTTTCACCATGTTGGCCAGGCTGGTTTCAAATTCCTGACCTCAAGTGATCTGCCCCTCTTGGCCTCCCACAGTGCTGGGATTATAGGCGTGAGCCACGGTGCCTGGCCCCATCCCAACATTCCTAAGGTTTAACCCCTTTCAGCATTAGCTCTAAATCTAAATCTCATCTATTACAAATATAAACTCTAAAAGTTCCAAATCTCATCATTTAAATCAGGTATGGGTGAAACTCTAGGTGTGATATATTCTGGGGCAAAATTCCTCTCGCATTGTGGACCTTTGAAACTAGAAATCAAATCATCTGTTTCCAAAATACAGTGGTAGAGCAGACATTGGATGGACATTCTCCTTGCAAAAGGGAGAAAAGGAGGGTTGGGCACCATAGCTCATGCCTATAATCTTAGCCCTTTGGGAGGCTGAGGTGGGAGAATCCCTTGAGGCCAAGAGTTTGAGACCAGCCTGGGCAACATAGTGAGACCCCATCTCTACAAAAAAAAATTTTAAAAACATTTTTGAAAGAGAGAGAAAATGGAAAGGAAACAGGGGCTCATTAGCCTAAAGCAAGCTTGCAGAACAGCAGGGGAAGTTCCATTAGGTTTCAAGGCCTGAGAAAAATCCCTTGTGGTTCGATGCTCCTTCCTCTGGATCCAAGGCAATGGGCTCCATCCTAAGAGTCATTCTTTCTTTTTCTTGAAGGATAATCCATGTTTGCTGCCAAGAACATGCATCAGCCTATTTTCTGCCTGTGGAATTTCAGAGGTCTAAGACTTGTCCTTCATTTTATCTCTGTCCTTTTCATTTCAGGCTGACAGTGTTTCTGTTGGTATAAAATTCTCAGAAACCATGTTGGTCTCCTGTGTAACTCACTACTTAGGAGTGAGTTACTCCTCCTTGCAATTTACTATAAGCAACAAGGAGAAACCTGGCCAAATCTCCTACATTTTGCCTGGAAATCTCAGCTAAATATACAAGTTCATTGCTTATAAGTTCTACTTGCCTTCCAACAGCAGGACAAAATTCAGCCAAGTTATCTGCCACTCTATAAAAAAGTTTCTCTTTTGTTCAGTTTCTAACAACAGTTCCTCATTTCCATCTTAGACCTTGCCAGAATCACCTTTAACATTCATATTTCTATTTTGTTATGATAATACATGTATTCTCTATGACCATAGAAACTTTCTCTATAGTCTCCTCATTTCTGAAGCCTCACTAGAATTGCCCTTAATATTTGTAATTCTACCAACAGTCTCTTCGGGGCAATATAGGCTTTTTCTGTCATGTGTCTCAAAATTCTTACAGCCTCTTTGCATTACCGTGTTCCAAAGCCACTTGCACATTTTTAAGTATTTGCTACAGCAGCACCCCACTTTCTACTACCAAAATTTGTGTTAGTTTCCTAGGCCTGCCATAACAAATGATCTTATGGAGCAATGTGTGATCTCATGGTTCTGGAGGCTGGAAGTCCAAAATCAAGCTGTCAGCAGGGCCATGCTACCTACTGAAGGTAGACACGAATTTTAGGAAGACACCATTCAATCCACCACAGGTTCTAAGCAGCAGAGTTTGGAAATCAACGTACTAAACATGGAACCTCCTGAAAGCATGCCTTCATTTTAGCTCCCCAACTTCTAACCTAGGTCATAGAATGCAACCAATGTTTGCTGGAATTTGTACACCAATGTTGATAGCAGCATTATTTTTTTTATCCTTTCTTTCTCACTCTAATCTCATGACAAATTAGTAGCATTATTCACAATAGCCAAAAGGTGGAAACGATCCAAATGTCCATGGGCAGATGAATAAACAAAATGTAGTATATACATACCATGGAATATTATTTAACCTTAAAAAGAAAGGAAATTCTGACATTGTTGCAACAGAGATGAATCTTGAAAACATTGTGCTAAGTGAAATAAGTCAGATACAAAAAACAAATATTGTATGATTACACTTATATGAGGTACCTAGAATAGTCAAATTCTTAGAGACAAAATTAGAATAGTGGTTACCAGGGGCTGGGGAAGGGAGTACTGGGAAGTTAGTGTCTAATGGATACAGAGTTTCTGTATGGATAACAAAATTTCTGTAGATGAATAGTGGTGGTGGTTACACAACAATGTGAATGTGTTTAATACTAGTGACTTGTATACTTAAAATGGTTAAAATAGTAATTTTTATGTTGTATATATCTTACTACAATAAAATAAGTGTTTGCTGAAAGAATAACTGGGCTAATGTTCAGGGATTTCTCATCCCAGGTACCTAGCCTAGATGTCCTCAACTTTCAGTTTCTTCATAGCCTCACAAAAATAACAACAGAATCCACTAATTGGTTACTTATTATATGCCAGGCACTGTGCTAAGCATTTTGCACGCATTATATTACTTAATATGCATAACAACAACTTTGTAGTAGACATTGGCATCCAACAGCAGATATTGGCATCACCATTTTACAGATGAGAAAACTGAGGCTCAGAGAGGATAACTAACAAGGTCACCAGTTCAAGACCAAGTTCTGTATCACTTTCAGTACTTCACAAGCTTCTCTCAAACCTGTTTGTCCCATGCTCTGAAGATCTAGACAAAAGATGGCCTCAAATTAGCCAAGACATATATATATAAAAACACACACACACATACCTACGTATAGTGCCTTCTAATATACCTGGAAGTACTTTACTTATATTCATTCCTTTAATCCCACAACAGGACACAATAGAGTGGGGCACTATTATTTTCTTCATTTTACAGATGAGGAAATGAGCCACAGGGAAGTTAACTAACCTAAGGTCACAAAACTGGGTATGATCCCAAGAAAGGAGATTTAGGGGTCTTTTAACCAGCTACTCTTTGTGATTTATTTATTTATTTATTTATTTATTTATTTATTTTTGAGACAAGGTCTTGCTGTTGCCCAGGCTGGAGTGCACTGCAGCTTCAACTTCTTGGGCTCAAGCGATCCTCCCACCTCATCCTCCAGAGTAGCTGGGGCTACCAGGATGGGTCACCATGCCTGGCTACTTTTTTTTTTGTACAGATGTGGTCTCACTATGTTGCCTAGGCCGGTCTTGAACTCCTGGCCTCAAGTGATCCTCCTGTCTCAGCTTTCCAAAATGTTGGGATTACAGGTGTGAGCCACTGTGCCTGGCCTTATGATTTCTTACAGGAAGACATCCTCTGTCTATTGCTCCCACAAAGGCAAATAGGCCAACGCTTCTTCTCATCTCATTGGGACATTATTCCTGTTTCCATCCTTCTCATGGTTGAAATGTCTGTGGAATGAATGCATAAACCAGCAAAAGAGAAGCTCCCTGCCCCTTCCAGTTGAAGTTCTTAGTTCAGCCCAGAGGTACTTTGTAATCAGACAAAAGTACTTGGGGTTCTCCAAGCCGACATGCTTTTTCCAGTGCCTTCCTTCGATAATTACAGTTCTTGTGCTCTTAGTTGTGTGTATCCATGAATTATGAGACTTTTTATTGACAGCTTCTATAAGCACAGGCCTATACACAGTAGACATGATAAATGAATAATTTTTCACAAGACCCCAGGGACCCTTCTTATTTCAGCCTCTTGAATTTTCCTGTATTATCTCAAGTCCTCCTGGGCCTGAAACCTTCTCACTCAGATTTTTCAGCTGGATCCAGCTCCCACCCCGCATCTTTGGGCGAGAAAAGCTCTCCTGCCGGCCTCCTCACTTTTGGCTTGAGGTCGGAACTCAGTTGGGGCTGGGAGACGTCGCTGGGCCTGCCCGCCTCAGCCTCTAGTAGAGGAGAATGGGCAGCTCAGAAAGTCCAAGAGGGCCTTTGAGTGTGTCTGCCGGCATCCGCCAGCAGCCATCGCCTGCATTTTATCCAGAAGCTAGTGTCAGGCTCTGCGAGGTATCCATGTTGATAGTTATTGCACGCGCTCATCTTGGAGCTTCTGAATATTCATGAGGGAAGCAGAAAGACCAATGTTAAAGAGGAGAGAAACAGAAATGCATAAATATTAATAAAGGCAGGCCCACGTGCTCAGAGGAAGGCTATGAATGTTAACTAGGGGATGACGTCCAGCTCCCGCGCGTGCCAGTTGGGTGGGTGCCCGAGCGCGGGCGCGCCCCCGGAGCCCGGGCACGAGCGCAGGGAGGGGGTGGGGTGGAGGCGGGAGCGGAGCCGGGCGCCGCCGGAGCTGCGGGGGGAGCGCTCGCTGGCTAGCTGGCTCTCCGCTGCGCTGCGCTGCGCTCCGGCCGCTCCCGCGGCCCGTGGATGGGGGTGTCCGGCTGAGCCCCGGGATCCGCCTCCCTCCGCCAGGACCCGCACAGGTGCCGTCGCGGGGGTCGACTTTAGTTAGGACCCGACCCACTGCTGGGGGTGGGGTCTGGTGGGGGTGGTAAGGAGGCCCCGGGATTCTCTGACAGGACGGTCTGGGGTCGCCACAGCGCCCCTCACCCCGTCCCATCCTGGGATTGGAAAGGAACAACGGGAGGCCGTCGCTCTCCTGCCCAGCCCTTCGGGGAGCGCAGCTGGGACGCAGCGCCAGGCCCGGGAGATGTGGGATGATGGGCTCCTCCAGTATCATCTCAGCATCGGCCCTCCAGCCAGGCCTGGGGTGTGTGTGTGTGTGTGTGTGTGTCCGTCCGCGTGTTTGTGCCCGCGTGTGTGCGCGCGTGTGAAGGCAGGCGGCGCGGTATGGGGGCTGGGGGAGGAAGGGAACGCCGCCCGATCGCGCTGGGGCAGTGGGTCGGTGCCTGGTCCCGGGACCGTTATCTGGTCCAGTCACCGTAAACGCCCCAACATCATCTTTGTCCCTAAGAACTTACCCCCGACCCCGCTCGTGCCCCTCCCCAGAGTGCTGAGCCTTCCCCAGTCCGCGCATTCCTGCAGTGTCAGAACCGCTGGCAGCGGCCGCAGACGCCGGGGGAGCGATTGTTTTACTACAGACGGGCGGGAGAAGGGACCGGGGCGGCGGCGCGGTGGCGGGGCGCGCTGCCGTCGGGTGGGCCCCCGGCTCTGGAGCGCGGGGAGCAGTGTTTGACGGCGTCGAGGGGGTATCACAGCCCGCTCTTCTTCCCTTTTGCCTATCCCTTCCCTCCCCTCCCTAGGCATCCCCGACTCCCACCCCTCTCCCGTGTCCGGGCTTGTTTGACCAGGAGGGCAGTGGAGTGTGTGTGCGGCCTGCGCGGGATGAGTCCGGCTTCCTCGGAGCGCCAGCCATTGTGCTGCCTGGAGGAGCCTTTCTTTACCCCACCGGACCGGGGGGAGGAGGGAGATCTGAGATGGAGGTGAATGGAGCAGCGGGAGGAGGGGGAGGGTAGCAAGCAGAACCGCGAAGGGGTTGCTGATCCATATGCAACGAAATACCCTTTCTGTCAAAATGTGCACAAACATGCACACTGGCTGGGTTCCGCGGAGGAGCAGTGGGAAATCTGAAGGTGGATCAGTGCAGGGCAGGTTTTAGGGACGGACATGGGGGACGAGGAGGCACGGAATCAATTGATCTATGGAGCAAGTGATGAGAAGAAGGAGATGGAATGGGGCTTGTGTGGAGGTGCCCAGGTCCAGCGGGGTTAGCGTGGTGAGATCTCCACCGCTCCGCTCCACTCGGGTCAGCTCAGCAAAGCAGGGACTGAGCATTTGTACCGCAGCCCGGAGCTGCAGCCAGTGCATCATTGTGCTGCAGGGAGACGTTTACGCGTTTCCTACTGGGTCTCTGTTAAGCCCCGTGAGTGTCTTTTCTTTTCCAAATTACACCATCTATTGGGAGTGAAAATAAATGGAATAGATTGTAGGACAATCCAACTATAGTCCTGCGCTCTGTTCTGTGGTAAAGAGAGAAAGAAAAGGCGACCCTCCCATGGTTCCTTCTTTCTGCCATTTTCATGTATGTATTTATTTATTTTTAATCTTGGAAGTCTAAGGGGAATAAACTATCACTTGTATTAATCCTTCTTTAAGGAAAGGAGGGCTCCCAGATGAGCTATGAATGAGGACGGGGCAAGCTTGCCAGGATGGAAGATAAGGTTGTTTCAGACATTTAACTGAAGGATGAAAGCACTCCGCGAAGAGGGGAGGGTGAAAGAAAGTGGGCTAAAGGAAGGAAGGCAGGGTCACCATCTAAGGACGTGCTGCCAGCCCCAATCCACAGAGCCCTCCTAGAGGCTATAGTGGGTCCAGTCAGCAGGCCTGACTCTCATCTCCTGTGCCACAGCCTGGGGTCTTTCCACAAATGCTGGGTTCAGTTTGGATGTTGAGTGACTTTAGTTTCCCAGCACTGGCTTTCACTTTAACTTCATCTCCAGATGGTCATTCATGCAGCACTTCTTGGCTCTTGGGTAATGAGTTGACAAAAAACAATCAGTCTATATTATGGACTGTTTCAAATGAGCATATGTCTGAACCCTAGAGCTGTGATATTCATTTTGTCTTTTATAATTTTCTAGATGAATCCATTTTCTCTACAGTCTGCCCGGGCTGAGGATAGGTGCTTTCAGCACCTCTTCCTGTTGCCAACACTCAAAACTCAGTCTTAGTCCTAGATTCTAGTTGGATTGGCCTCTTGTTGCTGGTTAATCCTATAGACTGTGTCATTTCAAATCAGAAACCCCACTGGTGTCACCACCTGGTTCTCCCCTGTCATTCCCAGAGAAAAGTACACATTTAAAGGCAGTGTAAATACCTGCAACACTATCTGATTAGCTTTCATGTCTCTGTAAAATGGGACCCATGATCCAGGAACCTTTGAACAAATGAATTGAAAAAAAAGCCTTAGTAAAAAAGATGCTAAAATCCTTTCAGCATAGTTCTCTTGTTTGATAAGCACATTGAAGCATTGCACAGAGAATATCATGGCAGGGATAATTTTGCTTTTACCTGAAGCACTCCCACATCACATTTCTTTTTTTCTTTTTCTTTTCTTTTCTTTTTTTTTTTTTTTTGAGATGGAGTTTCGCTCTTGTTGCCTAGGCTGGAGTGCAATGGCGTGATCTCCGCTCACTGCAACCTCCGCCTCTTGGGCTCAAGCTGTTCTCCTGCCTCAGCCTCCCAAGTAGCTGGGATTACAGGCACCTGCCACCATGCCTGGCTAATTTTTTTTTTTTTTTTGTATTTTTAGTAGAGATGGGGTTTCGCCGTGTTGGCCAGGCTGGTCTTGAACTCCTGACCTCAGGTGATCCATGCACCTCGGCCTCCCAAAGTGCTGGGATTTCAGGCATGAGTCACCGTGCCCAGCCTCCGCATCACATTTCTATGTAAGTAAGCTATCCTGGTTTTCCTAGAATTGTTTTTTACTTTTTTTTTTTTTTTTTTTTTTTTTTTTAAAGATAGGGTCTCACTTTGTCACCCAGGCTGGCATACAGTGGTGTGATCATAGCTCACTATAGCCTCAAACTCATGGTCTCAACCAATCCTCCTGCCTCAACCTCTCCAGTTGCTGGGATTACAGGTGTGAGCCACCGTGCCCAGCTTTGTTTTTCCTAGAATGATTGATATTTATTGGATGCTTTCTATATTCCACACATTGTAGTTATCACTTCAAAGATGATCTCATTTAGTCCAAAAAGTAATCTTCAAGGGAAGCACTGTTTTAAACTCCATTTTATAGATGATGAAATTGAGGCACAGTGAGGCTGATAACTTGCCCAAAGTCTCCCAGTTAGGAGTGATAGGACCAGGACAGGAACCCGAAGCCTATGCTCTTAACCATCACAGAGTACTGCCTTAACACAAATTCCTGGGCTGTAAAACCTTTTGTACTCTCTACCTCATTCTGCCATCTTTTCTAATCTCACTTTTTTGTTGCTCAGGGATTCTTAATCTTTTTTGCACTATGAACTCCTTTGGTGGTATGGAGAAGTCTATGGGCTCCTTCTCAAAATAATGTTTTTAAATGCATAAAATAAAATACTTAGTCTTATAAAGGAAACCAATTTCACTGAAATATAGTTACCTTCAAAGAGCCCGCAGGGGTCTATGTACTGAAGATGAAGAACCCCTGATGGGCAATTACTTGTGTTTGCTTTAGAGCTATGTTGTCCATTGCGGTAGCCACAGGCCACATTTGGCTGTTGAGCACTTGAAATGTGGCTAGTCCAAAGCGAGATGTACTGTAAATGGAAAATATACACTGGATTCCAAAGGACTTAGTATAAAAAAGAATAAAAACCACCTCATTCGTTTTTTTGTGGATTACATTTTGAAATGGTAACACTTTGGATATATTGGATTAAATAAACATTATTTCAATAAATATGATTAAATTATTGATTTATTAAAATTAACTCCTAAATATGTTAACGCTGTACCAACACCTTCCTTAAAACAAATGAGGAAATCAGGCCCAACGATGCTTGTCACTTAGCAAGCCACTGGCAGATCTGTTGGCTCTTGAGCCTGCCTTCTTTCCAAGATATGGTGCTACTTGTATTTATTTTTGTATTCAAAGGTCCTATCATGTTGCCTTTGCAAACAGTAAATGCTCTGAATATGTTTTAAAGCAGTGATAATCAACTTAATCCCAGCAAAATCCTGGTGCAAACTGGTAGTGTCCTTGTCTGGCATGTCCTTTGCTTTGCTTATTTAGAGTTTTAGTTTTGTAGGTAGAGATGGAGAATGGGCACTCCTGGGGCAAAATCCATGAATTTTGCTGTCTGTCTGGTTCTTCTCAGGAAGTGCCTCCAATTTGAGCACCTAACTATATCAATAACCCAATAGACCGAACAGAAAAGCTTGGTTGCCTTTCTGTTGAGCATGTAGGGAAGGGTATGATAGTCAGCAATGCTTGTGCTGCCTGAAATTGAAAATGGAAAACTGTATGTGGGAGACAGATAATTTTTTCAATGAGCACACATTGACTGACTGCCTAGCCACAGGGTAGGCAGTGTATATTTGGAGCCAGGGAAGATATCCAGAGGATTTCTGTGTCCTCGAGGAATTTAAGTTAAAATTGAATGGGGCCCAGATGTACACACAGATGGATAAATCACAGTTGGAAGCGGTGTATGAAGAGGGCCCAATGAGGGGTAGAGGTCCCACAGTTGGTGGGAACTGAAGGGAGGTCTGTGTGTGCAGCGTTTCAGGGTGCAGTGCTCAAGATGGTTATGGAGTATGGCTTTGGAGCACATGGGTAGTTGGGTCTGTTTCTTACAGGATACAGCATAATAGATGATTTAGTCTATTCCTCTGCTCCTAGGCATATGATCTATGTGTGGGAAAGCCTCGGGTGCTTGTCTGGGCATGGTGGCTCATGCCTGTAATGCCAGCACTTTGGGAGGCTGAGGCTGGTGGATCACCTGAGGTCAGGGGTTCGAGACCAGCCTGGCCAACATGGTGAACCCATCTCTACTAATAATACAAAAATTAGCTTGGTGTGGTGGCACACGCCTGTGATCCCAGCTACTTGGGAGGCTGAGGCACGGGGATTGGTTGAACCCAGAGGTGTAGGTTGCAGTGAGCTGAGATCACACCACTGCACTCCAGCCTGGGCGACAGAGTGAAACTATGTCTCAAAAACAAAACAAAACAAAAACAATGCAGGCACTTATTGGAAAGTCTCTACTGATGTTGTATTAGTTTTTTTTTTAAATAAAAAATAGAGATGGGACCTCACTATGTTGCCCAGGCTGGTCTTGAACTCCTGAGTGAGCTCAAATGATCCTCACACCTCAGCCTCCCAAAGTGCTGGGATTACAGGCGTGAGCCACCACACCCAGCCAATGTTTTATTAGTTTCTATTATTTATTGATAAGGGTAGTAATATCTAGGTACATGAACCCTTATCCAAAACCCCTGGGGCCAGGCACTTGGAATTCAGGTTATTTCAGATTTTGGAAGGTAGTAATAGGGTGTACATTCTGCATTTCATCCAGTGGGATCTGGGATAGCAATCTTTGTAATTAAAAAATCAATATTTCTGCAGCAAAACACATGAAATGGGATCAATTAAAGCCACGAGCAGCTTTATATTCATGTTGGTCATGTTTAGTTGCCAGATGAGTTTAGATCATGTCACATTTTGCTGCCAAAATGGAGAATTTTCAGCTTCAGATCACGTAGTTAAGGATGTGGGTCTGTGATAATAGTAACAGTAATAATAATACTACTACTAAAACACCAACAGAAAGTATTCAACAATATTGGCACTTATTATCTTCCAGGCACTGTTTTAAGCACTTACCTGTGTTTACTCCTTTAGTCTTCTAACAGCCCTTTGAGGTGGTTTCAGTATTATATCTAGAGAAGAATAAGAAGCACAGAGCAGTTAATCATTTGCCCGAGGTCACAGCTGGTAGGACAGAACAGAATGCAAACCTACATGATCTTGTCCGGGAGCTTCGTACTTAACCAGTACCTTGTTTTTGGGAGTAGGGAATGGGAAGCAGGTGTGTCTCTAAAGTTAACTCTATTATTTAGATCAGCCTGGTCTAAACTCACATTATGCTGTTCATTTCTTTTAGATAAACTCATCCTGAAAGTCGCTGTTGTTCTCCTACTGAGCAAGAATGGAGGCCCCACTGGTGAGTCTGGATGAAGAGTTTGAGGACCTTCGACCCTGCTGCTCGGAGGACCCGGAGGAGAAACCCCGGTGTTTCTATGGTTCATCTCCCCACCATCTCGAGGACCCCTCCCTCTCTGAGCTTGAGAATTTTTCTTCCGAAATAATCAGCTTCAAGTCCATGGAGGACCTCGTGAATGAATTTGATGAGAAGCTCAATGTCTGCTTTCGGAACTACAATGCCAAGACCGAGAACCTAGCTCCCGTGAAGAACCAGTTACAGATCCAAGAGGAGGAGGAGACCCTTCAGGACGAGGAGTAAGAAGTCTTAATTGCCCTCTCCTGCTTCAGTCGAGAGCCCTGTAGTCCTTGGCTCCTTGACATAGTGCTAGTTTCTGTCTATAGGTTTATGGCCTATTACTTTCATTTTCGTGTTGTCAGCGGAGCAGTGCCCTGGTACTTGCTGTCATAGCTCTATATATGTCCCTTTACAGTCCCCTGCGGAGAACTTTCTTAAATTGAAACCTTAGAGGAATGAGGGTTTTCCTAGATACAAAATGGAATGTCAGGAGCACAGTAAATTTCAGGGTCTATCTTGAGCTTTCTTTATATCAGTGGAAATCCAGCGAGATGTTAGAAATAAAGTCCAGAAAAAATTAATTAACCATGATGGATGAATCTATGTTATTGGACCAATTTGCTTCAAGAAACACCAGAATTTTGAAAATCCTGAATTTTTGACAGCCCCTCAGGCCTGGAGAGTTATCTACAGATGCTAGGATATGTCCACATAAGAAAGCATCTAAACTGAACTGAGAGCACAGGGGGCTACCCTGGACAAAGTAAAGGTGGAAACTAGGTGATGTGGCCTTTGAGTATGCAGATTCCTTGTATCACTTGCTAGCTACTTCTAGGGTCTTAATAGTAGTCAAGAAAAGGGATCTGAGAAAAGTACTCTTTCAGAAGGGACTAGAAAGAGAAGGGGGTGATATGTTACACAAATTAAAGAAGGATGTTTTAGGCATTTAGTAAAGATTCAGTGGTTCCCCACTATCCTCGGGGGATGTGTGTCGTTTTTTTTTGAGATGGAGTTTCGTTCTGTCACCCAGGCTGGAGTGCAGTGGCATGATTTCTGCTCACTGCAACCTCCATCTCCCAGGTTCAAGCGATTCTCCTGCCTCAGCCTCCTGAGTAGCTGGGACTACAGGCATGCACCACCACACCCGACTAATTTTTGTATTTTTAGTAGAGATGGTGTTTCACCATGTTGGCCAGGCTGGTCTTGAACTCCTTACCTTGTGATCTGCCCGCCTTGGCCTCCCAAAGTGCTGGGATTATAGGCATGAGTCACCACGCCCGGCCCATGGTGGGGGATATGTTTTAAGACCCCCAATTAATGCCTGAAACTGCTGCTAGTACCAAACCCTAATGTTTTTTCCTGTATGTATGTACACATGATAAAGTTCAGTTTATAAATTAGGCACAGTAAGAGACTAACAACAGCTCACAGCAAAATAGAGCAATTATAACAATACATTGTAATAAAAATTATGTGAATGTGGTCTCTCTTTCTCTCTCTCTTTCAAAATATTTCATTGTACTATACAGCAGATAACCGAGCCCTGGGAAAGCAAAACTGCAGAGAAGGGGGGACTACTGTCTACATGAGTTCCCTGCAGAGATACAATATGCATCCATTGTTCTTTAGCTAGCACACAAGAAATGTCAAAGGTCAGGGAAGTCTGAAGCACCTGTGCTTTTGTTTCCCTTTTTGTGGATTTGAGTGGGAAGAATGGCCCACAAATCATGGGGTAAGAGGCATGTACTAGAGGATTGGAACCTGGCTGTATTTGGGAGAGGGTTGCTTATTTGATGACTGCTGTAAGACTCTACCTCTACACATAGAGGGAACAAATATCTGTCTTATTCACTCTTACAGCCCCACTGTCTCATACAGTGCTCGGTTTGTAGTAAATGAGCAAATAATATTTTTGAATGAAATATTGAATTTGAATAAACTAGATGAGTGATAATAGCTAGTAGCCTTGTATGTACATGTAATGTATTTCTAAGCCCACACCATTTCCTTCTTTTCTTTTTAATTAATGCTGGCTGGAAGGTATGATCACAGAGAGCATTTCATTTTGCTGACCAGTACTATAACTGTGGGCTATGTGTTTAAATTTTAAGTTTCAAACAGATTCTTTTTAGATTCTGAGCCTGTTATCTGCTCAACATCTATAAGTAAAAAAAGAATGGCTCTGGGGCTTTATTATGCAGAACATTTTTTCATTCGAGTGCACCAGCCAATGAACTGGAAACACAAAGACTATGAATTCTAATTTTGGTACTCTTTCTAACTCACTGTGTGACCTTGGCCAAGTCACTTAACCCTGGTTGACTGTGTAGGTCCTCATCTATGAAACCTCCAGAGCTCAATCTTGATGAAGTGAGGCTAAGGACTTGTAAAGAACCTAATTTCTTACCTCACCCAGGATGTGCTCTGAAAATGACATTTCAAGATGCGTCCCATTCCTTTTGCTTCCAACAAATAATTTCCTCCTTATCAAAACCCCTCCTCTGCCTCATTAAGGATGAAGGCCCAATGAGCAGATTCTTACTGTCTTCTAGCACATTAGAAGAGGCCACTCAATGTTAATTACCATCACATGGGATTATTGGCCTTCTCAGCCTGATTTTTCTGACTTGACTGCCTCATTGACTGCCTCGGTTAAGAGACCAAAGGTTGAATAATTCCTTCGAGATAAAGTATAATTTGGGGACAGTGTAGAGGGAGGAAGCTGGGAAGAGAAAAATTAATACAGCACTTTCCAGGCATTCAGTTCTAACCCCTCTTTACAATTTAAAATAAAAATCAGAATTCTGTTACACACCTTGTTTCATAGACACTATCCAAATATTTCAACTTTGAAATTATGGCTAAGTAAAGGAAAAGGATGATTTACTATCTCACCTGACTACACTTCTGAACAAAGCTCTAATGTTATTGTCATAAACTTGTTCAGGTCTAGTATTTAGAGGGCTGTTTCATCCACAAATGAGTTAAAAGTGCTATGGATGGGTTAGAAGTAAATAATAGAAGCTTAAAACAAAAGCAGAGAAATACGTGGTTAAACTGCCTCCTTAAAGACAGCACAAATCATAGAACAAATGTAGTGACTCCCTTAGAAGCTTTCTTTTCTTTAGTCTTCATTTGGAACTATTTAACCAAGAGGAGAGTTGGCTAAGATTTGTCAACTTATCTCTGATTTGTCAGGGCATGGAAGTTCTAGGCATTAAAGGAGAGTCAGATTTGAATACATATTTTTTGGTTTTGAAATCAGGAAACATCCCAGAATCTCTTCTTTGTGTCTATGTGATCACCCTCTTCCTTTGCCATAAGAGATTGGGGCTGGAGGTCAGAGCCTCTTAGGGGCCACTACAGAATGGAAATGGATGGCTCTCAGCTTACCTCTTACGTCACTGGGGATCCCTGTCAGCCCTCTTACAAGTACCCTTAAGACAGAGCGGCTAACCATGCAATGGCTGTTTCCTGTTCTTTAGACAGAATTGTTTTTTTTTTTTTTTTTTTTTTTTTTTTTTTTTTGAGACGGAGTCTCGCTCTGTCGCCCAGGCTGGAGTGCAGTGGCGCGATCTCGGCTCACTGCAAGCTCCGCCTCCCGGGTTCACGCCATTCTCCTGCCTCAGCCTCCCGAGTAGCTGGGACTACAGGCGCCCACAACCGCGCCCGGCTAATTTTCTGTATTTTTAGTAGAGACGGGGTTTCACCGTGGTCTCGATCTCCTGACCTTGTGATCCGCCTGCCTCGGCCTCCCAAAGTGCTGGGATTACAGGCGTGAGCCACCGCGCCCGGCTAGACAGAATTGTTAAAGGTGATGTTAAAAAGAAAGTGCAGACAATAAACTGCCTGTCAGCAGATATACTACATGTTGAAGACAAGTCAATACCAAATAGTGAGCTAGGGAAAGTTACACATAACTGATTTTTTAGAAAATTTAATTCTCTTTTTAGAGGTTCAGTTACCCCTTATAGAAAGCAGATATAGTATCGATTCTATTTAAGCATTTGAAGACATCTAGAAAGTTGAGCAAAGGCATTAATGTGCTGCTAATAATAATTTCTACTTTTTTTTTTTTTTGAGACGGAGTTTCACTCTGTTGCCCAGGCTGGAGTGCAGTGGCACGATCTTGGCTCACTGAAACCTCCGCCTCCTGGTTTCAAGCAATTCTCCTGCCTCAGCCTCCTGAGTAACTGGGACTACAGGCGCACACCGCCACGCCAGACTAATTTTTTTTTTTTTTGTATTTTAGTAGAGATGGGGTTTCACCATGTTGTCCAAGCTGATCTCGAACTCCTGAGCTCAGGCAATCTGCCCGCCTCAGCCTCCCAAAGTGCTAGGATTACAGGTGTGAGCCATCGCACCCGGCCACAATTTATACTTTCTAAACATAAAGTATAAAAGTGTACTCAAATTAATACACATGTGGGTGTGGGTATTGGCATGACTGGACACCAGCAAAACACTAGACAAGGGAAGTAGCCAGGCTTGAGGGAAATGTCAGTAAGTTAGAATTCTAATAAGCCCTTTAAGCTGCCTGCCATACTGTCAGAAATAGGTGTATAAGGGTTTGCGTGTGTGTCAGGACTGATAGAACCCTGATGGCTATGTTGCCAGTTCTAGGCCCTGGAGCTATTTGTACACGTGTCCTGGCACCCCCCAGTCTCCACCCTCCTCCACTGGGTTTGCTCATACTCTGCCAGCAGCCTTTCCCAAAGCCCCTGCTCTCTGTGGCGAAAGATACTTAGGTCCATTCTGTAGGCACCTAAGCCCAAGCTATAAAATATGCATCTGAAAAAGCCTTTTCTGTTATATAGGGATGGAGAGAGCAAATTGAATCTCAGGTGTCATGGAAGCATAATGATAGGAACTGAGGCAACCTGTTTGATCTTGTTCTCTGATGAATGATAGAGGAGATAGCTTTCAAAGTCTTCTTTCCCCAAGGTAAGAGTAAATAGCAGGATGCTTCTCAGGGAAGTAAAACTTTACAGTCCACCTCCAGGTACTCACAAAAGGGGCGATGCACACTCCCAAGAACCCTGCTAATAATGGGATATATGATGGGATAGACAGCCCTTCCCGTCCTCTTCCTCAGAGAAAGCTGTTTCCCCTGCCCTGGCTGCATCGGCTCCTCTGTCGCTGAGGCTGCTGGCTGCCAGCGTTCTGCTTGTGCCTTCCTTGTGCCCTTCCCTGCGCTGGAGATTTACACAGAAAGTGGCCATGCACCCCTGCTACCTTTGTCATTCCTCCTTCTGTAGATCCATGAAAGCACAATGTTCAGGATCATTGTAGGTATGGGTTTTTCACACAGAGCCAGTTTCTTTTCTTTTCTTTTCTTTTCTTTTCTTTTCTTTCTTTTCTTTTCTTTTTTTTTTTTTTTTTTGAGATGGAGTTTCACTCTTGTCACCCAGACTGAAGTGCAATGGCACGATCTCGGCTCACTGCAACCCTCCTGGGTTCAAGCGATTCTCCTGCCTCAGCCTCACAAGTAGCTGAGATTACAGGTGTGCACCACCACACCCAGCTAATTTTCACGCAGAGCCAGTTTCTAAACTGCTCTCCTAGGTTATGATTAGGAACTTGGTATATTATTCTGATGCCCATGCCGATGCCAATTACATAATTCATAAAGAGTTGGAATTGTTAAGTGGTTAGGAATATGGGCTCTGTAGCCTTGCTGCCTGAGTTCAAATCCCACTTTTACCATTACTGGCAGTGTGAGCTGAGACAAGTGAATTAACTTTACTATGTTTCAACTTTTTTCTCATTAGCATCTGCCTTGTATAAGTGTTGTAAAGAATGAATGAATTAATCCATGCTTAGAATCCAGTTTAGAATAGTACCTGGCTCATAGTAAGTGCCCAGCAAGTGTTGACAGATATTGTTATTGTTAAATGGACACTGGATAAGTATGGAAAGGGTATGCAAGTGATTACAAGGAGATGAAAGCTGCTTTATCTTAAAGCTTGTTTATAAACTTCAAAGGATAAAAAGTTATGTCAGCAAGGAAAAAGGAAACCTGGGCAAAATATGAAAGAGAATGAGGATGGCTTGAAATCCTGAGAAAATAAGTTTAGGGAATTGTCACTAAAAATCTAGAATCAGAAGATAAAATTGAAAGCTTATCAGCAAAGGCTCAGATGAGAAAAGCAGGCACTCTAAGTGATCCCGAGAGAGCTCCTGCTTATCACTTTAAGGATGTAAATAGTCTCAAGGTCATTGGAAAGTGTGTAGTTCGTTAAAGTTCTCAGCTTCCCTCCAGCCCGGGAGAGAGACAAAAGGCTCCCGCCTATTTTGGGCTTTGCTGAATTTCATTTCTGCAGGCGCTTCCTGCAGGGACGAATCTGAAGGTCAGTGCCTGTATGCATGTTCAATCTTGCAGCAGAGAATGTAATGCAGTGATGTAAAGAGCAGTCCTACAGTGACCTTTCCAGCGGGTGTGGTGCCTTGGAGTTTTGTCTTGGAGAAAGCAAATCCTATTTGCTTCTTGGCTCTAGAATGCTAATGGCACTTGGATTTAGAATTAGCCTGGATTAATGCAGCTCTAATAGTGCCTGATGGAGATTAGGATATCACCCATGGTTTAAGAAGTCTGCTCTGGAATCCTGCTGAGTAGATGGCTAATGAGTACTTGATGAGTTCTCTTCAAAGTGTTTTCTTGTAATGGTAGGAAAATAATGAATAAGCAGATGCCCCAAGCACTGCCATTAAATTGTGTTTTCTTGGGTTCCTTTTATTTGTTCCATCACCAATTATATGCATTGTGCGCTAAGAAAGTCTTTTTGCTTATACACCCATATATCATGCTGCATTCCTGACATAAACAAAATCAGGAATGTGATGTGATATATGGGCATTTTGTTTAGTTAATAGTGCCCTCGTTACTTTCTCATTTCAAGTATCTGTGCGCTTGTATATATATATACACACTTGCTTGTTTTTAAAATCTTGTTCTCACAGGTATAATTTGTGTTTGACATGCATAGGCACCTGAAGGAGATTGCAGCATAGAGCCCTAATTTATCATTATCTAATATTTTAGTTTTCATTTTTTGTTTGTTTGTTTTTGTTTTGTTTTTTGAAACAGTGTCTTGCTCTGTCACCCAGGCTGGAGAGCAGTGACACAATCATGGCTCACTGCAGCCTCGACTTCCTAAGGTTCTTCCCACGCACCAGGCTATCCTCCCACTTCAAGCCTCTCGAGTAGCTGGGACTACAGGCCCATGCCACCACTCCCGGTTAATTTTTGTATTTTTTGTAGAGACAGGGTTTCACCATGTTGGCCAGTCTCATCTTAAACTCCTGGAGTTAAGGGATCTGCCCATCTTCGCCTTCCAAAGTGCTGGGATTCAGGCGTAAGCCATCGTGCCTGGCCTCATTAATATTAATTCAGGTGCCATTGGCTTCCATGGCAGTCATTATCTTAAGGGCTTTGTTTACTGATTTACATTAATCACTTGGTGTTGAATAATTCATGTATCTTCCTGATGTGTGAGTGTTTGTGACTCTGAAATTTTCCCTGAACTCCCTCCTTTTTTTTCCTAAGAAATTTTTCTGAAATAAGGAATAAGAATTGTAGAAATTCTTTCTTGTAATGTACATATCAGAATTTTAAAAAGAAATGTAATAAATGTAGCCCCATCTTTCCCCACTAAAAATGAATTGTGTAGACAGAGGTGTATTTATTGGTTTCTTTTATACACAGTATTTACCTTAGAGTGTCCGTGATGTTGGAATGACACAATGCAGGATTTAGATTCGACATTGCTAGAGGGCAGGATCTAGCAACCCGTGGGTTTGACAGAACATTTTGGGTAGCAAGTAAGCACTCATAGCATTGGCATTATTCCCTTACCTACATTAGATGTCAAGGAGGGAATTCCTGATCATTTAGATTGCAGACCTCTGAAACTGAAATGGTTGTAAACTAGATAATGATTCTGATCTTAATGAGATTCAGCCAGAAAAACTGCCCAAATCTCTCTGTCTCTATGTACCTCTCTCTCCTTTCTCTCTCTCTCTCTCTCTCTCTCTCTCTCTCTCTCTCTGCCCATAGGAAAAGAAACATGGGCATCTCTTAGATTCAGAAACATGAGCTATTTGGATGAGGGGCGATGTATTTTCAGAGCCAGAGGCGGTTTGATTATAGACGCTGCCATTTGTATCTCAATGGTAGGAAATTCCTCTTCCCTCAAGCAAACACCTTTCACACTGAAGCCCTGGCCAGGCTCCATGGACTTTCTCCCTGGATGTGCCTCTGTTTTTTTTTTTATTTTTTTGAGACGGAGTCTCGCTCTGTCGCCCAGGCCGAGTGCAGTGGCCAGATCTCAGCTCACTGCAAGCTCCGCCTCCCGGGTTCACGCCATTCTCCTGCCTCAGCCTCCCAAGTAGCTGGGACTACAGGCGCCCGCCACCTCGCCCGGCTAGTTTTTTGTACTTTTCAGTAGAGACGGGGTTTCACCGTATTAACCAGGATGGTCTCAATCTCCTGACCTCGTGATTCGCCCGTCTCGGCCTCCCAAAGTGCTGGGATCACAGGCTTGAGCCACCGCGCCCGGCCTGGATGTGCCTCTGATTCAGTTTTTAAGCTGCTTTGCCCCTGCATGCTGGAAGGCAGATGATCTCAGCCTGGCACACACAGAAGCCTCTCTCCTCTCCCAGCCCAGCTCTTCCTTCCTCCAGGCGGGGCCAGGCCACAGATGTGTGTTAATGAGAGCTTCTCTTTGTTTACAGGGTCTGGGATGCTCTGACAGACAATTACATCCCTTCACTGTCAGAAGACTGGAGGGATCCAAACATCGAGGCTCTGAATGGCAACTGCTCTGACACTGAGGTACCTCTCTGGGGCCCCTGGTTTAACAGGGCTTGAGAAGATGTGGAATTCAGTTAGAAAAACATTCAGTAACTCAACAGTCTTCCTCACTGTGTAATAAAGCTCAAAATTGTTGATGGAGGCTCATGCCTGTAATCTCAGCACTTTGGGAGACCGAGGTGGGTGATTGCTTGAGTTCAGTAGTTTAAGACCAGCCTGGGCCACATGGTGAAACCCCATCTCTACCAAAAATATAAAAAATTAGCCAGGCATGGTGGCGCTTGCCTGTGGTCCCAGCTACTCAGGAGACTGAGGTGGGAGGATTGCTTGAGCCTAGGAGGTGGAGGTTGTAGTGAGCCAAGATCATGCCACTGCACTCCAACCTGGATGACACAGTGAGACCCCATCTCAATTTAAAAAAAAATTGTTGGGAAGGTAGGAGTTGTGGAGGAGGGTGAAAAATAAGATAAGGAAGACATCCAATATAGCTGAAGTGATAGGAATGGTTATCTATAGAAAAGCATAAACACAGATCACTTCCATTAGGTTGGTGCAAAAGTAATTGTGGTTTTTGCCTTTCCTTTCCTTTCCTTTTTTTTTTTTTTTTTTTTTTTTTTTTTTTTTGAGATGGAGTCTTGCTCTGTTTCCCAGGCTGGAGTGCAGTGGTGCGATCTCGGCTCACTGTAACCTTCGCCTCCCGGGTTCAAGGGAGTTTCCTGCCGCAGCCTCCTGAGTAGCTGGGACTACAGGTGCATGCCACCATGCTTGGCTAATTTTTTGTATTTTTAGTAGAGACTGGGTTTCACCGTGTTAGCCAGGATGGTCTCGATCTCCTTACCTCGTGATCTGCCTGCCTTGGCCTCCCAAAGTGCTGGGATTACAGGTGTGAGCCACCATACCTGGCCTGCCATTACTTTCAATACTTCTAACCTGTGTACTACAACATGAAGAATAAAGTGGCCTGACATAAGAGGAGAAAACTGTCATGGGCTTCTCTTGGGTTCAAACAATGATGGTTTTAAAAAATTAGATTTTCCCATCTTAAATGAACAGTTCAGGCCCACCAAAAACAGTGCTGAGAACAAGTGCTGATGGATCTTGCACTTGACAATGGCCAGAGGTAGGGCCCAGATATTAGCAATGTGGCCACACGATGGGGAAGAAGTCTCTCTTTTTTTTCAGACAGGGTCTCACTCTGTCGCCTAGGCTGGAGTACAGTGGCACAACCTCGGCTCACTACGGCCTTGAGCTCCTGGGTTCAAGTGATCCTCCAGCCTTACCCCCACCCCCTCCTTGAGTAGCTGGGACTGCAGGCATATGCCACCATGCCCAGCTAATTTTTATATTTTTTGTAGAGATGGTGCTTTGCCATGTTACCAAGGCTGGTTTCAAACTCATGAGCTCAAGCAATCCACCCAACTCAGACTCCCAAAATGTTGGCATTACAGGCGTGAGCCACCATGCTGGCCTAGAATTCTTCATGAAACTCAACCAAGGGGACGTTTATGTGTCTGGACCAGAGTCACACTCCATGAGTTACTGACTCCAAGGAAGAAAGTAGCCTAGGGGCTTCTGAAGAATAAAGATGATATTTATTTTGAGTTGATTTGCAAAGGCCATAAAGGAGGTGGCCTTTCAGAAGATCCAAATTGCCCCTCCCATCTGAATCTACATATGGAATGGTTTCTTAGTCAGTTTGGGCTAGACTAAGTAATTTATAAACAACGGAAGTTGATTTTCACAGCTCTGGTGGCAGGGAAGTCCAAGATCAAGTCACTGGCAGATTCAGTATCTGGTGAGGACCTGCTTTCTGGTTCACAGACAGCACCTTCTCACTGTGTCTCCTCATGGTAGAAGGGTCTAAAGTGCTCCCTTGGGCCTCTTTGAGAAAGGTACCTGTGGGCATCCCACCTCCATGGTCTCATCATCTCCACAAGGTCTCACTGTCTAATACCATCACTTTGGGCGTTACGATTTCAGCGTATGAATTTGGTGGGTGGGACATAAACATTCAGAGCACAGCAAAAGGTAAAAATCATTTAATGGCTCTATGTTAAAAGCCAATTTCTGCCTCACTTGGTTTCTAGTTTCAGCTGTGAAGGAAATTTGACAATTTATCATCAGGAAGGGCTGTCACAGCCCTGTGGGCTCAGCAAGTGATAGAGTTGGATGGATCTAATCTTTCTAAGTGTTTCAGAATTGAGTCCAAGTAAAAGAGCAAGAAACAGATTCCCCTTACGCTGCAATATATTTGTAGATTATTGCTCAAAATAGCACAGCAAAGAGATCAGCAGTTGACTGATTTGTTGAAAATGTAGCTGTATATATCCTTCTCCATTTTTCTAGTAATTAGCAATCTAAGGTACTCAAAACCTGAAGGCTTCATTGACGGCAGCAGGTAAGATGGTGACTTTGAAACCAAGATTTCCTGCAAGCCTCCTCAGCACAGACATAGGAGGCCGTGTCTCAGGTCCTGTTTTGAAATCTCGGCTGTGCATTTTCTCTTGTAATGCTTACAGATATAGTGCTTAGGACTTACGCAAACTGCAAAGGAGATGGAGGCAATAATGGAATAAATCTAGTTACTGAAATTAAATCAGGTCCATCATAGTACGAAAGGCAGATTTTGCTTTGTTATCTCTTTTGACACCTTTCCAACTCATTTGTGGATTAAGCCAAAGGATATGTAAGATAGTCTGCCCTTCAAAAGGGCTTTAATTTATCCTAATTTCCAGATTTCCCTCAAGAGGGTTAATATTTCTGGGCAAACTGAATGACCCTGAGAAGGATGAGCTTGAGCTCTGTTCCTTGTAGTATTTCTTCTATCTAACCCATGGGAAAAGGACAGGGTAGCAAAAGTAGATGGATTAAGGCTGTTTTATTTCATCCTCTTTTATTATCTGGATTAATTACAGTAGGAGCTCTATTAACTGTCCTAAGTTTAAACGATTTACCAGATTAACCAGTGCTCTGTAGTCCCTCTGTAAAACATACGACCAAAAGCACTTGGCATGCTGACTATGCACAGCTGTGAGGTTTCTCTCTCGTCAACCCTCATACATCCACTTAAGTGGTCCATTTTTAAAATACATTTTTTATTTTTTTCAGACGGCGTCTCACTCTGTTCCCCAGGCTAGAGTGCAATGGTGTGATCCCGTTGGCTCACTGCACCCTCCGCCTCCCAGGTTCAAGCAATTCTCCCGCCTCAGTTTCCTGAGTAGCTAGGATTACAGGCACCTGCCATCATGCTCAGCTAATTTTTGTATTTTTGTAGAGATGGAGTTTCACTATGTTGCCCAGGCTGGTCTTGAACTCCCGACCTCAGGTGATCCACCTGCCTTGGCCTCCCAAAGTGCTGGGATTATAGGTGTGAGCCACTGCACCTGACCAAGTGGTCCATTTTTGAGAATCAGTTGTTCCCAAACCTGTTTGTGCTGTCCTTGTGACTGCACTCAGAAATTTAATTAAATATTGTACCAACTAATGAATTACGACTGCAAAGAGAGTCATTTTTGTTAAAATCAAAGTAACACATCTACATAGTTTAAAAAGTTAATTAATGCTTTGAAAGTAATGCACTGTAAGTACAAGACAAAACAACCCACCAAAACAGTAGACCCCTGCCTTCTTGCCTTTCCCTGCTCCTAGAGGCAACTGCTTGCACTTCTTTTAGCTGCCTTTTTTTTTTTTTTTTTTTTTTTTTGCATATAGCTCCAGTTTTATAGTGGGGCCATGTGGGCCACATGGGGAAGCTCCAGTGTTCTCTGGAGGCAGAAGTAGCCAGGGAAGAGCCAGGCCAGTGCCTCAGGAATGGCAAGACGGGGTAAACAGTTTAGGACTGGCTAGTTTGAGTAATTTCTGCAAGCTGTAAACACTAGGGATGGTCCTTAGTGCCTAGTACCTGACCCTGGGATGACTAAGGCAGAGGACTCTGCCTCCTGGGATGTAGAGGTCAGGTAGAGGGGGCAGGGCTTGGCTTTGGTTAGTTTGCATATAGAAGATTTGCTGAGCCCTTTGCTATCTCTAAGAATTGGCTAATTTTTTTTTTTTTTTTTTTTTGTGACGGAGTCACACTCTGTCACCCAGGCTGGAGTGCAGTGGCATGATCTCCGCTCACTGCAACATCCACCTCCCAGGTTCAAGTGATTCTCCTGCCCCACCCTCCCAAGTAGCTGGAATTACAGGAATGTGCCATGACGCCCAGCTAATTTTTTTTTTTTTTTTTTTTGTATTTTTGTTAGAAACAGGATTTGCATGTTGGCCAGGCTAGTCTTGAACTCCTGATCTCAAGTGAGTCGCCTGCCTTGGCCTCCCAAAGTGCTGGGATTACAGGTGTGAGGCACTGAACCCAGCCAGAATTGGCTAATCTTGAAGGTACAGTCTCTCTGCACTAGAAAGGTCTTTAACATGTTAAAAATCAAAATTTTCAGAAAATTAAAAAGTATAAATAACACAATGCTTAAAGGCATCAGATACTGTATTGTGTCAATTCCATGTTTTTTTTCTTGAAAACATCCCAGTTAGTACTTTTCATCTTTCTGCTACCAACTGGTCTGGTCATTCGCTAGATCAGCTGCACAGCTGCTGCCTGGAGGACATCCTTGCCTTCATGCTGGGGATTCTTTTGTCTTCCTCTCCTGTCCTCGGGTTGCCATATTTAAAACATCTTTCTAGATATAGTTCCTTGTTTTGGTGAAAAAACAACAACAAACCAAACTCTTCAGCATATTTTTGAGAAAGGGGTACAGACGAAATGGTTTTTAGGATATATAAGAATATTATTGTTTAGCATTCTGAGGGCTTTGTTCTCTTCTAGCATTAGGTTGTGTTGAGAAACCCCAAATCTGTTCTGATTCCCAGTCCTTTTGGCTGACTCTGTTCTCCATCTTTAGATTCCTGCTCCTTTATTGTATGACATTTTTGGTTCTCTCTGGAAGTTTTTAGGATATTCTCCTTTTCCTTTCTCTTTTGAAATTTTACAATAATGTGCTTTAGAATGAAGTTTTTTTTTTCCCCTTCAT